ATTACCTATATTTAATTAACGAACATTCGTTAAATATATAATAAATGCTTCCTCAATAATTCGTTTTAAATATTCCTCGATATTTTACATGTTTAATGCAATCCTATTAATACAGCATACATACAACATTGTCCGTTAGCATTCATTATAATTTGGCAGAAATACGTCATAACTCAAGCAGCTGTTCAGCTTCTGCGTTGCGCGTTCCACGACGGCAGCGGTTAGCAGTGATGGCAAGAGCCAGTCCAACAATATTTGTCGCTAATAAATATTAAATATCCGGTGATCAGTTACATTGAAATCCGTGTAATAATCATATTTTTACCGTCGTCTTAATCGTATCAGACGTGAAATCCTCGATCATATCTTATTAAGCCTTTTTTAAACTACGGGGTGTCCAAATAAATAAGTATCCCTTTTGTTTGTACCAATTTAGTATAGTATATGTACTTAATATATTATATTTATGTACAAAAAAGTGCTTGAGAAACTTACGTTAAAGTGTAGGTATTTAAATATCTATCTTCTCTTAAAATAATAAAAATGCCAAAAAAAAATTTAAAAAAAAAATTGATAAAAGTACCAACGTAAACATATCCATTCATAAAGTGGTTAAATTAATATCAAGTATTCTTTCTCCAAAAAGTCTATATGAAACTTACAAATAAAAAAAATATATGAAACTTATATGGGAGCTAATAAAAACAATTCTGTATATGGGAGGCATACTATCCTAAGTCCATTTTGTCAGAAAAATACATTATTGCATAACCAGGATCGCAATACCCAATATTATTCAGGGAAATACTACACTAAGTCCCAACTCTTTTAGAAACGAAATTAGACGAGAAACCAATCAATTAGTCTGCCAATTGAACAATTGTTTACCTTGGGCAGCAATTAAATTGTAACGCAGAAAGTCACGACGAAATTAGATCTAGGATAGAGCAGGCTAGAGCTGCTTTTAGAAGAATGTCCAAGGTGGTATGTAACAGAGACCTAAAATTGGCATTGAGGATCCGCCTACTTTGCTGCTACGTGTTCTCGGTCTTACTTTCTGGTGTCGAGTCCGGGACTGTGAATAAAATCGATCTAAATCGCCTTAAGGCTTTCAAAATGTGGTGCTATAGAAGAATTTTAAAATTTTTCTGGGTGGAGAAGATTCGAAACTCCACAATACTAGAACGTCCCAGCAAGACTACTTAGATCATAAAAATTATCAAGCAGAGAAAGCTGGAATATTTCGGACATGTAATGAGAGGTCCCAAATATAGGTTGCTACAAAATATCATGCAAGGCAAAAGAGTAGTTGCAAAAGAACCTAATAGTTGAAGAACTTGCGGGATTGGTATGGTATATATACAAGCATGCTATTTAGGGTAACAGTGAATAAAATTAAGATAGCTATGATTGTAACCAACGTTTTGAAAGGACATGGTACATGAAGTAGAAAAAGGTCTGTCAATTCTTCTTCATAATCGCCACAAGTATGGAGTAAAGATTTACATGGTCACAGAACCCAATGGTGAAATATAAAACTCAGTGATATATACCGGAATGTTGGATGGTACTGGCGGAAAAGGACATACGATGAAAGTGGTGTCAAAATTTTAGACAGTATCTTAGATGCAGGTCATTCCATTTACCTGGATTATTTTTATAATTATTGTTTTCAGTTGGCCAAAGAGCTAACTGATAGTAAGAGCTATTGTACCAACACACTGGTTGCTAAAACAAAACAGGATATTGAGGAAATTATATCAAAAATACTTAATAAAGGACAGACTGTAGGAGAATACTCTGATAGTATTATGATTGGCAAATGAAAAGATAAGGACATATGCGGAATTTGGAAAAAAAAAATGTTGCCATCACTGGCTTAAGCATAATTTACAGCTCACAAGTAAAATGATTAAGCAATTAAAGCAATTACTATTTTAATGGGAATAAGCCGCAATTTGAGTTCAAAATGAGTTTACTGTCATTTTAATTTTCACTTCGAAAATTGTTCTCAAAATACAAAACATTAATAATGTAACAATTAACAATGTTAAGCAATTTTGTAAATCCACTGATTGTCAATAGATATTTCCCTTTAGGTTCTTTACCCAGCATATTTTTGTCAAGTAACTGTAAAATTCTGATATAATGTTGATATTGTGTCAAAAATATATAAATGTGCAAATCTAAACGTCAAAATAAACGTGGTTAATTCTAAATTAAAATAGTAAATAATATAGAAAACCTCTTGCTATCTTCCTCTTTTGATCACCAAGTGTTATAAAAATATATTGTTTAAAAAAAGGAAAGTAATTTAGACGTGCGTGTATATATTTGATGTCCCTACAAGCACAACATTGCAAGGTTTATATTTATCACACCAATCCGTGTGATATGTTTGGGACACCCTGTAGTTATGCAGATATGTAAACTAAGCAGGTCTGTTGATACAGTATTTATTTGATGGAGGTATTTTGTGTAGTGTCAGTTGCAACCCTATAAAATATGACAAATAAGCATGAGATGTGAGTGGTACGGTAGCGACACCACGCGGGGAATTATCATAAACATCAAATAAATTAGTTCATATAAATTAGTTGTCTTGGTTGCTTTTATAATGAGTGGAGATTTACAGCCGCAGCACACACATGTCCGGGTGACGGCCGGCCTGAAATATTACGTCTATTGTGATGTAAAGATGCCATCTCGAGAGAGAGAAGAGGCTCGGGATGAGACGGGGTTAGGTTGCATTCGACCACCGTATGAGGTGTGCGTTCGTCCATTCATATGAATATAACTTTTTAATATCTATATATATATATATATATATATATATATATATATATATATATATATATATATATATATATATATATATATATATATATATATATATATGTATATATATATGTATATATATATATATATATATATATATATATATATATATATATGTATATATATATATATGTATATATATATATATATATATATATATATATATATATATATATGTATATATATATATATATATATATATATATATATATATATATATATATATATATATATATATATTAAAATAAACCAAGAGACATAGCTATGGCAGTTTTGTGAGTACTACATTAATAATGGTTTTACATAGTTTAGGTAAGATATTTTTAGTGTTTCAAAATTTGATTTAGTAATAATATATGTTACTAAAATATAAATGGTAGAATTACTTCAGAAACGAATAGAGTTGAAGGAAGAGAAACAATAACGAACACAGAACAAGATGAGGAAGTTAAAGATCTATATAAAAGTGAAAGAGAAAATATGCAAACTTAAAAAGGGAAAACAGCAGGAAAAGACGGAATATGTGCAGAACTTATAAAATAAGGTGGAGGTACTTTACAGACAGATTTATGAACTAATACAGAATACATGGACCAAAGAAAAAATGCCCAAAGAATGGATGAAGGGAATTATAATGACCATCCCAAAACAAGGAGACCATAGAATATGCAAAAACTACCGAGCAATTAATTTACTAAATGTAATATATAAAGTAATGACTGGTATAATTAGAGACAGACCAACAATATATACAGAACAAATCATAGGAGATTATTAGTACAGTTTTAGAAAAGGAAGATCCATAAGAGAAAACATATGAGTACGACGGAGAAACACATATACTTCTAAACTTTAAACAGGCGTCTAATAAACTAAACAAAAGAAAAATGATCCAAGATTTACAAGAAAGAAATATACGAAATAAAATTATAAGAATGATAGAAATGACAATGCGAGATTCCCAAGCAATAATAGGCACCGGAAGAACAAGAAGAGAAATAATAAAAATAAAAAAGGGAGTAAGACAAGGATATGCACTCTCGACGGTTCTATTTACTCTATCACTAGACAAGATAAAAAAAAGCTGTCAAACGCAGGAACTATAAACAAGAATGTGGTACAAATAATAGGATATGCGGACGATATAACCATAGTAGCAACATATAAAAAGGTATTAAAGACAACCTTCAAAGAAATAGAAAATAAAGCCAAACTGAGAGGACTGGAAATAATGAAAATAAAATAAAATACATGAATGTAAGCAAGAAAAAGAAGATACAAAAAAAGAACTGAAAATATATGCACACAGTTTCGAAGATGTTGAAACATTCACATATTTAGGAGTAGTGTAGAGTGCTTCAAGAATGCCCACTTAAGGTCTAATCAAGCGTAAAATCCAAACCAATCGCATATAAAGTATATTTATTTTTATTAAAGCTTGTTGATACATAAACAACAAAATCAATTTTAATTTGCGAACTAAATATACTTTAATAGAAAAAGTGAAACTAAAAAAAAGTGTTTTTGCCCACTCTTATAAACCCGCTTTTTAAAAGTGGGCATTTAGGATTGTAAGATTGCGCACGTAATTTTATGGACATAGGTCACATTTATAAGTTCCAAAACCTGTGTAGGCACTGCACTTTTCATGCCACCATATAGCACATGATATGCACTTAATACTGTTTACTTAATTCTGTGATAGGTTCTTTAAATGTTTCGTTGCCCCCTGGACAGCTCCAAATTTTCTTATAAGCCGTTGTTTTTGGCTGTGTGAAAACAGCTTTTTTATTTTTTTGTATCTTCTCTGCCGGTCTGAGGTTCATATCTGATTTCCTTTTTAAACTCCCTTCCAAAAGCTTGATTTTGTAATGGCGGCTTTTTTTTTTCTCATTGTTCTCATTTTCTTCAATTAGTTGGTCCTTATATGGAGAGCTGGTGATAATTTCCGACTTTTTGCTTCTGCGATTTCTGGATCTCACCACAATTTATTTAGGTAACGGATAACTGGTTGTTAATTTAATATAACTTGATGATGTTCCAGGAGTGTTCGATAAATCAAATGTTTTTGTTTCCGGAGCTATATCAACTTTTTCTTCCAAAGTTATTGCAGATGTGTTGGAAATCAGATCTGTAAGCTGACGGGTATTATTTTTTATCTGTTAAATCCTCCTCGTACAATTGGGTTCAGATGTAGGTATTTCGCTGATTATGGCATCCCTTTCATTAACATAACTATTTTCCTTAGTAGTAGAATTCTTAAGAACAATAGTTGGACTGTCAAGAACATTGGGAGTAGTTCCATAGGCTGATTCAGACATTTTATGTGGTTGAATACCGATTTCAGACGTAGAATTTTTAGTGACTCCTGATTTGTACGTTAAGCGCTTCTAGTTCCGTAGTTACTGCAGTTGTAACAGGTTCTCTTCGTTCTGCGACGAAAGTGGCCATGAAATCAGCGTCAGTAAATATCTCATTATTAAAGGGACATATATCCGTTACTTTAAAACCTTCAGTTGCATTCGTTATAGTAGTAACTTTAAAGTATGCAGGAGCAAATATTGAAGCAATTTGGTAAACCGTAATTACCCGCCCTGGATGGTTCGTCAGCCATTTTTCACATTCGTTAAAATAAAACTTTTTTAGCGGGCTAAACAGACATATGTCAAGTAACTGCATACGGTAACTACTATGAGGAAGAAGTGTTAATGCGAGAATGTTATATTTTTGAAAAAAAAATCAATTGCTGCAATGGAACAATGGGTGATTATCCACTATCAATATGTCTGGTTGGTACTTTGATACTCGGCTTAGCGTGATCTCTAAAATGTGTAGCATAATCAACAAACAAGTCCTAATTGAATAAACTAATGTCGGTTACCATTCCAACTGATGATGGTGGAGCTCCATTCAAAAGTTTTGTCTTCATTCTTTTACGTGGATATATAAACGCGTGAGGAATATATTGTCCACTATAGCACTCATTGTGCCTACAGCAGTAATATTGGTTCCCTGTTCTGCGCTAGATATTTTATTGACACATCTTTGTCCTTTTGTAGAGAAAATTATAATTATATTGTTAATTCCATGTGGTGAGATTTTATATGTATTCATTAACATCGAGAGATTTTTATAAAACCGCTTACACTGTGATTCATTAAACTTAATAACCCTAGCGACGATAATAGCGGTGGGTTGCCTTAAACTAACATAGCGAACTTAAACTTAGGGCTCGCGCGCTTAGCCCTAAGAAGTCTAGCTTAAAGCTAGACTTCTTAGGGCTCTAGAAGATAACCCATAAAACATGTTGTCTATTATTATGATATGATACGACATACGATATGACATGATACGTGATGTATCTTCCCAACTTTGTAGCTAAAGTTGTTCTTTGTATCCTTTTTCTTAACGTACTTTCCTCCATTCATATAGATTTTGCCACGCTTCTCTTACTTTCTCCATTTTCAAGCCTGTTTCTTACTACCTACATAACCACCGGTGAGCATAAAGCACGCTGAGAAGTTCGTGTTCTACCAGACATGCCTAAACAAAAGAAAAAATACGGTTAATCCGTTATAAGAAAAAACCTGGTTTATAAGAGTGCGCGCGTTCTCTTACAATATTAATGACTGCGCTCTCTTAGAAAACGAGCATGTGTTAATATATGCTAGCTAGTGCTGCCTCCATCTTGTTTCAAAATTATAAACAACGTTAACATTAACAGCAAGAGAAGAAGAGCAATTGAAAGTTTTTGAGATAAAGATTATCAGAAAAATACTGGTACCAAAGAAAAAAAAACGAAGAGGCTGCAAGACAATAGATGCAAGAATAAATGGGTCAAGAGAGCATAGTTAGAGCAATAAAAGCTCAAAGAATTGAAGGGCATGGACAAATAATGAGAAGAGAAACGAGGAATATATTAAAAGTTATAACGGAATGGATACCAGGTAAAAGAACCAGGAACAGACCTAAACTGAGGCGGAGACAAGAAGTGGAAGAAGACTTAAGGAGTGTGGAAATTAGAAATATAGAAAGGACAATCAAAGAGAGAGAAGAATGGAGAAAAGTAGTGAAAACAGCGAAGTCACACCAGAAACTGTAAAACCAAACCTAGAATGGGATGATCCCCGACACAAAAAATATCTTCAAGTGAAAATAACTTCAGCTTCTTCGGGAGCGTATAGTTTGTATATATAGTGCCCAACATCCGTAACGGATGGTCATTATAAAAAGAAAAGATGTTATACCATTTTCAAAAGTTGCAATAAACAAAGTTCTTTTAAAATAGTAACAAAATTAAAGCTATTTTTACGATGTTATAAACCCGAGGGCCTCTGGACCGGGGGTTTGTAAGTCCCCGAGGGCATATACATATATTATTACCCGAGGATGCATTCAAACTTTTATGTCATACTAGTTCGTTACTGCATCTACAAATAATTATTTTTAATTATTATTTAACTATTATTTTCTTATTAAAAAAATAAAATTTATTACTGTCACTTGAAGGGCATCACGTAAACTTAATTTTATCTATGACATAATACACTTTTTCAATTTCAGTAAAAGTATCGATGTATTCGGGTGTTTTTGTCAAGAAGATGTTAATTACTGTTTGCGTTAATTTATTGAAGAAATATATTTTTAACGAGACTCAGCTCTTCGTTAACTTCAATTTGCAGAAAATCTTCAACTAGAACGTCTTATATCTTCATTTGGAAGACGAAGCGCAACCCTCGCGGGTTAAGAGTTCCTGTTAACGACACATTATTCATGAAACCAGCTTCGTCCATAAAATAATGAAGATATCAATATTGTGCAAGTCGATTCGTTTATTAATTATAGTACGAGAAAACATTGTTTATAAATAAATAGAGCTGGATGAATACATTTAAGATGTACAATAATAATAGAAGCTTCAATTCTTTTTGATATAATGCTAAAATGGATAATAAGAATCAGTAGATTAAAATACAGAAACTCTAAAGCAAATAATTGCCAAATCCTAATCTGTGCTGATGATCTAGTAAACACACATACAATAACAAATAAATAAAAAGCATTGATGATAAAAAAGCTGGAAATAAAATTAAATTCAAATGAATTAAAAGTAGCACTGGAAGTGAAAAAAATGGTATAGGCTATACATTTATGGTATAACACAAGAAAAAACTTAAAAATAAAAAGAGATTCTTTAATTCATTGATATTGATCATTATTTTTATTATATATTTATTGTAAGCGTCATGTACAGGATATGATTGTTATATATAGGGTACGGTCGTCTATATTGGACCGGCTCCTAAATTGGACTTTTGCAGATTTGAGTAAACCGACAAGTGGTGCTATCCGTTAATACCAACTAGAACTACATCTCAAAACCGTCACCACGTGGTAATTACGGCAAGTGGAGCACAGAAGATTTAAGCAGTGCTATTTCCTCTTTTCATAGTGGTTCTTATGGGCTTAATGAATATGCAGGGTTGTTTAAAGTACCTAAAGCTACAATAAAAAGACATCTCGAAGAGAAAAACAAACGGGCAAATATTGTAATTTAAAAATTGGGCAGGTTTACTGCATTTAATAAAGAAGTTGAAGCAGAATTTGCTAAGCATATTTTTATTTTCGAAGAACGAATGTTCGGGATGGGCATACAAGATATCCGCAAACTGGCATTTGAATTCGCAACAAGAAATAATTTAAAGCACAATTTTACTACAGATAAAAAGTGGTATTATAGCTTCATGTCAAGACATAAAGAAATATCCTTACGGCAGCCGGAGAAATCATTAATGGCAAGGGCTACAGGTTTTAGCAAAGCACGAGTTGATGAACTCTATTAACTTTTACAAAGAATTTGTGAAATTCGATCAATGAAAATTGACCGCCACGCGCATATTCAACGTCGATGAGACAGGCTACTCAACCGTACAACGGCAATCTTTTTTAAGTACCATCTCCGCGACGAAAATTGGCAGTCATCATGGCTATTCTAACCTTCGAGGTAGCTGCTCTGAACAATTGCCTTGAGCTGCAACCAAACCACTCTCTCAGGCCCTTCAACCAGGAAACGCGCCTTCTTTCTACGCTTTTTCTACCCTCTATTTTTCCTTGAATTATGAGTCTCAAGATGTTGTATCTTTCGCCTCTCATTACATGTCCCAGATATTGTAATTTCCTTTCTTTTATTGTATTTTCTATTCCCTCTTAATGCCTATTCTCCTTAACACTTTTGCATTCGTGACTCTATCTACCCATGGAGTCCTTAACAATCTTCTAAATGTCCACATTTCAAACGCGTAAGTCGATTTATTGTAAATATCAACGGCAATGTCAGAAAATATATCCAAGAAGGGAAAACGTCAAATTGGGAGCATTTCTAGTGGAGAGAGGAGGGAAAATACTACTGTGGTTTGTTGTGCTAGTGCAGCACGGCAATTTGTACCACCAATGATAATTTTTAAGAGGAAACATTCTCAAGACAAGCTTTCGCAAGAGATACATACAAAAAGAAAGAAGAAGAAAAAGAAGTATTTTGTGCGATGCTGTCCATTTGGCTAAGTTTCTGGCTCAGCTTGAACTTGTAGTTGTAGTTTGTACTTTGGCGATTTGTACTGGATATTTTGGGTTTCAGGTATATTTTTTGTATAGCAAAATCTGTGGTGTGGAAAAAAGATTATGTATTTTAACAGACCATGGCCTTAGTTTTCACTTACGTATCCAGGTATATTTATTGATAGCTTTATGTTTAAAAAACCATTCCAGACAAAAAACCGATAAAAATATTTATTTATATTGATAAACTTCTTTAATATTTTTAAATAGTAGTACTCTTAATTTGACCGGTCTATCGGAGAACGTTAAAACTGGGCGAGAATGGTCGGTCAGCAAGATAGCGGAGAATATGCCGAGTAAGTCGTCCAATTATCTCCATTATTTTCTGTTCTAGGCAACGTCGAAGCATCGTTGTGTCGGGATATGCAAGCACAAACATGAAATATGGCGATGCCGTCGTTTCGTAGGGCCGGTAATTAAGCAATCTATCAGGTAAGTCCGACAATCGATACATAAATGAGATGGAACTTATGCTCTTGTAATGAAATCATAAATTTCCGTTTTTAACAATGACGGCTCTCGGGGAAATTAATTCTACCAGTGCTGGACTTGACTTTCAAACTTATAGCAGAAACTACCGCTGCAATAAATTTATAATTTACTCCACTTCCGAAGATCTCGTAGACATTATCACCGGTGAAATATGTATCTGGGAAAGGATGGACAGCGTTGAGAGAAACAGAAACAGGTTGGCTAACATATTTATAATAGGATATCGACGGTGAGCAGGCAATATCCTATCTACGAAAA